CCAGATTGCCAGATCAATGGTTTGGGGGAATGGGACGTTTCAGCGTGGCCATTTGGGCCGAAATGGCCGACGCCGTAACGGCCAACGGCGAAATGGCCTGACGTCCAAATGGCCACGTCGAAATGGCCACGCCGAAACGGCGACGTCCAGATGTCCTAAACCCATGGTTTGGTGCCATATCGTCTTTTTTTTTATGGGATTTGACTTAGACTAGTCTAAGGGATTTTAGGGAGTTGAAACACTTTCAATCATTCATCGTGCTAGCAGCTATTGTTTGACAGGTCGTAAGTAAATTCTTCTTTTGAAGCCATTTATGCAGTGTGTTATCTATTGCACAAAACTATGACGTCAGTAATATTTTTTAAATGGATCAATTGATATTTTATATTAAAAATAGTTAGTCCCTTTAAATGCAAATCTTAATTAACAATAATTATAATTTTTCTCGAACAGTTTTAAGAAAATTATAACAAATGACTTTACAGTTCCATTTATGCAATTTAAGCCATTTATGGAGTGTGTTATCTATTTCACGAAACTATGACGTCATTAATATTTTTTTAAATGGATCAAATTATATTTGTATTAAAAAAAGTTAGTCCCTTTAAATACAAATCCGAATTATTAATAATTCTAATTTTTCTCGAACAGTTAAGAAAATTATACCAAATGACTTTACAGCTCCATGAAATAATACAAGAAATTCTACAAGTATTAAAAGTAATTTTAAAAATCCGACTTCAAAATCGTGCGGATGCCGTCACCACATCTTAACCAAATTTATATAGGACCACCCCTGATGTACCCCTTTATTACTAACAAAAAAAAATCATAGAAATCGGACAAGGTGGTAAAGAATTATCGCTAACATACATAAAAAATAAAGAGTTTGAGGATTTTTCTCATGGACCCAATTATTAGATTTTGACCAACTTAATATGGGACCACCCCTCAAGTACCCCCTTTCTAACAAGAAAAGAATCATTGAAATCGGACACCGTGTTAAAGAATTATCGCTAAACATGCAAAAAAATATTACGCCGAATTGAGAACCTCCTCCTTTTTTGAAGTCTGTTAAAAATACGATGTAGTAACAAATACAGAATACAAAGTGATTTGTCAATGTTGCCATTATTTTAATTACAGGTACTCTTGAATAGGTACAGATTTCATCTCTTTGGCTTTAAATGATCAAAACTATATTCCGAATAGAATGTTTGAAATTCGTGATGGGAACTAGACTTGTTGTTAGATCTATCAACCAATGCGTGAACTAAAATCATCGGTAAAGAAGGTAGACAATGTTATTACCGCGTACATTATTTGAAATTTCGGCTTGTATTTTATTTCTCAATTTTCTTGGTTACTACATCAATTTGAGAATTGATTTCAACGTAATTGTAATTGGTTATTAATAGACTATTTGCTTGTCTCCGTAAAAACAATTATTATTTTTTATAATTATTTATACCTTTATTTTTATTGTTTTTAAAGTTGCATTATTGACAGCAACTGCTTTGATTTATTTAAAAAATGTCTACCAAATCTTAGGTCTTCATCTTTTATAGCTTTCAAATTCATTTGGAAATAAAATTAAATGCAATTAAACTCCCACCTTAAAGCCGGCTTCTGTCGATGTGATGAGTGTGCAGGCATTATTATTATATGTAGACGCGCACTTGTGATATGAGAAAAAACAGCCAATGTTGGACCAAACATTGGCAATACTTACGCACCAACCATAATAAATAAAGCCACTATGTCGACTAATATTTTATTGCTACATTTTCCTTTAAAATAATAGATCACAATTATATAATCACTAAATATTTATTTATAATAACATAATTATAAAAGATATATTTTACAAAAAATATCTATTTCTATAAAATATATTCATAAAATGTAATTAAACAAAAATTAACATATTTTTTTTAAATATATTTAAAAAATATACAATCTATAATAAATAGGGAAATAAAAGAATAACAATAGTAAAATAAATATCTAAAATTTTAACCTAAACTGCAACAGGTGGCCCCTGAATCCAATTTGTTTGGATGCGCCACTGAAATATTATAGATATTTATTTTTAAAATTACTTTTGAGTCCGTTATCACTGGGTTTTTTGTCTTTTAACAAGTTTTATAAAATATTAGATAAAAGCTATATATTATATGTATATATTATATATTATTAGTAGACACAAGAAACTATTTCAAACTCATGTACACCTGTATAACAATGGAAAAATCGAGAAAATCTGCAAAACCAATATTTCGCCATTTATTAAAATATCGTTTTATTTATACAAAAAAAGAAAAATAGATTGAATTTTTCGTAGAAGCTAGATTTGAAATTTGGTATACAGAAAATCCCAGTGCATATTGAATAAAAAACGGATTTTTTTGTAATTAATGTAAGGATATGTATATGTGGGTACATGTACAATTTAACATGAGCATTTTGTTTTAATATTACGGTAACCTACTTATTTATATGCACTTGGGTTCTGTATATCCTGGTGATTTAGATTTAAGGCAAAAAATTGGAAATTTTACAAGTGATTTGCTATTGCTTAAACACCCTGTAGTGAAAAAATGTACTTTGTACAAAGTTTAATTTTAATGAAGTACATATTATACATTATAGTTAATAAATGTAATTACTAGGGAAGTCTTGATGAGTTACAGTTAAGATGCTTTAGAAAATTCTGTTAATTAAAATTAATTTACCCAAAAAAGTGGTAGTATCAACTTTATTATTTTTCCTGGAATATCCTACAATACCAAACAAAATCTTTGAAAACTTTCTTTAGTCAGTATAATGATGTCGGTGTAAAGAACTACATTCGTGCGTTACTCAACGCATTATTATCATTTTTCTCACAAAAGATGTCTCAAAAGATTACGAAATTTAGAGAAGACTTAAGGCAAACAAACTAGTAGTGAGCTGGTTAGAAAACAAGGGTAAGGTCGATGATTATAAGTTTTTGAATATTTCTAGCATGTCAGACTAGATCAAACGCTTTATTAAAAAGTTCACAAAGATAGAAGTTTGTATGAAGCTTACCACTTTGGTAACAACTGTGTATGAAGGATAATAAGAGTTGTGAGGTTTGAAACTATGTTGAAATTGAGAAATGATGTTTCTACCTTTACATAATTCCTAAATTCTGTTCCTGAGTAGGAGCTAAGAGGTTTTCTTGAACTAATTTCGGGTGGCACGAGATGGGTTTTACAAAAGGAGAATCATAGAGACAAAAGTATCTTAGTGTTTTCGGTCACATTTCGGAAGTTTTTAAACTCTGATGAAGAACTTAGGATTTATTCTAGGCTACAGTAAAACACCCTCCTTATAGTACTAACTGTGATGTTTATATTTAATTTATCCACGTAAGAAGCATTCAGTAGTGTTTGTACTTTATAAAAAAAAACGTGAAAACCTTTAAAATCTTTATCAATGTCAAAATATTATATTATTCATCATATCATTTCTAATTCTTCATAATGTGTTAATTAAAGAACCAAAGAATGTTTTTAAAGATCAAAATATTTTATTCTTCATATTATTTACGATTCTTCATAATGCGATTACTTTTCTTCAAATGGTTAATTTGGGAGATATTTTTTTATTTTTGTAAGTAGTCTAAGATTTGAATTCTTTATCAAATACTGAAGTTTAAAAAAAATATTTTGTATATACCTATACCAACCTATTAAAAAATATTCTAAACCTAACTTTAACCATTTCCTTTTTCCTTTTCGTACTTAAAATAATAAACCAAAAAAATTGAATTGATTCTTTAACAGTTTTTAACCATACATTATTGTTTGCTTTAATTTTAGATAAGACATCTATTTTCAATATTATCGTGCGACAAGTCTGACCCTGTTCCTTGTTGATCTTCACCGTTGCCGTTACGTCTGGCGATCGAGAGTCGACTAGAATGTTTCTTTGTACGCAGCCTGACGCGTGGAGTAAGGATTTCAAAAACGCATCGAGATTCTTCTAGTCAGGATTGGTTTGGCTGCTTTCATTAAATAGTGGCCACAACCAACTGATAAACATAAGACTCATAAGGAAGTTCGCAGACATTGGGTTATTTTATTAGTAAAGTGTTCTCGAAACCTGAGCAAAATTACTGCGTCACAAGAAGATAACTCCTGGCAGTTGTGAACTGCGTGGAACGCTTCTACCAATACTTATATGGCACGAAATTCTTAATCCGTTCTTATCATGCAGCTCTTGAGTGGCTGATGCAGTTCAAAAACCCGGACGGATTGAACGACTTCCTCTTGAAGATTTTAAGATCGAACATCATGCCGGAATAAGCAACAAAAATGCCGATTCTCTTTCTAAAAGAATCTCGATGCGTTCGTGAAATCCTTCCTCCACGCATCGGGCTGCGTATAAAGAAACATTCTAGTCGAATCTCGATCGCCAGCGTCAGACGTAACGGTAGCGGTGAAGGTCAACAAAGAACAGTGTCGGACTTGTTGCGCGACAATATTATAATTCTAAGTTTAGGAATTTTTACGGTAATTTTAATACATACATATGAGAAGAATGGATGATAAGTAATGCGAAATTTTTTGTTAAAAAGTTTTATTTTATTAAGAATGAACGTCAAAATAAATAATTGAACCATTGAATTTTGCACTTAAAAATTACCATTTCTTTTGACAACAATGTGACAAGATCGTTGCAGCTGAACTGTTTTTGACCTTGCCATTATCGTATTTTGCATTTCCTCGAAAACTGTTGAGAATTCATATTATAAAAGACTATGTCCCGGTGGTGAGGGCGGTCATTTGACCTGAGAAATTTAGAGTAAAGCTGCTTATCAATGAATGTTTTCCTTTATTGCTGGCAATAAAACATATATTGTATACGGTATTAATCAGTTCGCCGAAAAGAGACAGAAATTTCGTGAATTTAAAGTCCCTAAGTGCAGATTATGTAAACAAATTAAAATGAATATTTTCTTAACTTGCCAATCGCAGGACTTATCAATCCATTTGCTTATAATAGGTAATTTGAACTTTAAAGTACTTACAACATAATATTCACATTAACATTTGTAAAATTACTTCAAATTAATGAGAAGAATTACATTTTTAAAAATGTAATAACATATCATATCCTATCACTTTCTTCATCAGTCTCATAATACCAAGCAACCCTCTTAAAATATTGTTAAATAAAGTATGAAGTATATAATTCACAAAAATATCGCCGTAGTGCAAAGATAGTGTTGGAGAATTAATGAAGAGAAGAGGTGTTAAAAGTATGTAACTAATTTTTTATTTGCACCCTTCTATTAAAGTAGAAATTGATTTTCATCACTTCATAATCAACTATAATCTAACTAATAATTCTGACAATAAATCATCTCTTTTTTAAAAAAATATAATTCACTAATTTCAAATATTACACAACATAAATATTTATTAAATGACCTGTGGCCAATCATGATTTAGATGAAAAACAAATTCATTAAGATAAATTTGTATACGAATTGCTTCTTTATTTTTAATGAAATATGCCAAAAAATACAGCTCATAATTTTTCCAAAATTTGCTGTTCTTATCACGAAAATATTCCACTTATTTCTATTTAAAATTTTTACCTCGATGGTATTAACTAAAATAAAAACCTTTTTGTTTAGAAAAATCTTTTCGAGTAAACTACTAGTTCTAGTGTTGTTTTCCCAGTTTGTGTTTACACGTATCACCTTCAGGGAAAGCTTCCCTTGGTGGCATAAAGCTTAGCATCATGATGTGGCGCATGTATGCTCTCGATTGACGGAAACTGGTGTCAGTCCCGTGTAATCTGTCGAGTACTCCCAAAACACCAAAACAATTGTTGAATCTGAAAAAATCCAAAATTAAGTAAAAAAAAAATGTTAGATCTATAAGGAAATGAGGAAGAACAATATTAAAAAAAAAACAAAAAAAATTCATGCATTATTACCTATTATTTTTAAAAGAACCCAGGCAGCACGCTTTGGTATAAATTACGTTTTTTTTTAGGTACTACCATACGTATGAATACGGTTGATGTACTACCAAATATATTCGTGAAAATGTCCGCCTTATAAACGTCGATTACTAAGAATTTATCTACCTATAATTAAACGTTTATACTATACGTCTATATTAGATTTATAGTTGTAGTATATTTATACGAATCCACTTCGGTATAAAAGACGTTTTTTTATGTACTACAATATACGTACGGATACCGTTGATATGCTACCCAATATATACGTGAAAATGTCCGCCCTATAAACGTATATTTTTTTTTATGTTTTATACGTCTACCATTACTACTTTATCTACCTTTTATTATCCTGTTTTACTATACGTCTATATTAGATTTATCTTATTTTATTAATGTGTAAAATGCGTCTACCTGATATTGTTTTAAATGTATTTCAAACACAAATTAAATAAAGTGATCAAAACAAAATTTCTCAAAGAGGCCATGGAAAAATGTTAATATTTCTTAAATGACAGTTTGGATTTCATCTAGCAGGTATGTATACACTAGAAATAGGTATTACTCGTGTTTCTATTTTGGTTGTAATTTTACTTAAATATTTAGGAAATTTTTTTGACCACTTGTTATATGTACAGAACAATATTTTATTAAAAAAATAAATAAACAATAAAATACTAAAAAATAAATAAGTACTAAAAAATAAATAGGTACTAAAAAATGAACACTAAAATACTGAATAACAAGCTAAACGAAACTAACAAAAAATATATATGAAAATTGAAATCTTAGCTTAACACTTTGGATGTGTTGTGTCCTAGACAGGCCTTAGCTAACTTTAGCCAATCTTGCATAGCACTTCTAATCGTTCGGTCGGTTAAGTCTCTTGGTTCGCCCCCATTCCTATAACCAAAATATAACTGAAATATTTTCTAAAAGCCCCAAAGTTAAATTTGTATTATTTTCTAGGAAATTATTATAAATAATAGAATCAGATGATATATTAATGTCCGAAGCCTTATTAATGTTATCTTAATTGGGAATAAAAAAAAATTGATTTGACTTTAAAGCATCTTGAACATTTTGTGCTATTTTTCTTAGTAGATGACGCCGAGACAGGGTTATTTTAGACATTAAATAAAAAACAACTGACCAAAAAAAAGGAAAATAAGTATGCTTGGAATAACTAGGTAGCCAAAAAAAAATAGGTATAGAAATACGTATAAAAATAAGAAAAACAAAAGTAAGGTTATGTTCTGGAGTTTCTATAAGCATTTTACACACTGTAATAAAATGCAACAATTATTAAACGAGTCGCTAAATTAAAACATTAATAGAAACTTACCTATATGCTTTTAACCAATATTCACTACGCGAACTTTGGACCAGCCCGACTTAGCTTAAAGCACACCCCGAATCTCACTCACTGAAACGACATGGACTAGTCCACCCCACCATGGTTATTGGCGGGTTATTTAAATGTTCGGGTGTTTGAAATCTGTACAATGGGGAATTTGTTATAAATATTACAGGTAATATAATTAAAAAAATATGGTGTAATGTAAATAAATATATCTATACAATGGGGAATTTGTTATAAATATTACAGGTAATATAATTAAAAAAATATGGTGTAATGTAAATAAATATATCTATAAGCTTTTTATTTAAAGAAACCTAAGTATATACATATTATTTACTTCTGTCTACTAGTTCATCGAAAACTGGTAATATGCGTTTAAGGTGACTTATATTTAAACGTAGAATAATATAGGTATATTAACTAGTATCCACAAACAAAAGCGTTTAATTTATCTGTTAAAAAACGTTAAGTATAAAAATGGTAGATGGTAAACGTTTAAAAAATCAACCAAGACGAAATTTAAACGGGAGTTATAAACGAAGAACACATATTGTAATATTATGTAAATTTATACGAATTTAATTTAAATAAACCTAAACGAATATTTAGGCCCACTGTATATAAATAGTTCATCGCAAACTAAAAATAGTCGTATATTGTTAACTACATTTAAACGTAGAAAAATTTACAATTATATACCATAGGATGTATACAAAAAACGTATAATATATCTTTTAAAATACGGCATGTATAATATTCATAAACTGTAAACGTATACGGAATCAACCAATACCAAAATTAAACGAGTATTACGTTTAAAATACGTTAGTTATACTAATGTGTGCTGCCTGGGAAATGATAATACTTACTTCAAATGATGAAAATCATGAGCTTCTGGACTAGGGAAAAACGGTAGGTGGTATCCGGAATGTGCATTCAAAGTAGATAAAATAGCCAAAGTGAACCAGAGCCAAGCTGTTGCCATATGTGATCCCATCAAAAATACACCCAAAAATGGAGGCAGCAGATTGGAGAAAATATGTTCTATAGGGTGACAGTAAATAGCAGTTACTGCAATCGGAGCTGTCCATTCATGATGCTGTTTGTGGATGTATTTGTAAAGGAAACGACTGTGGAGTAATCTAAAAAATGAGGAGAATGTAGTAACATTGCAAGACCAAATTTAACAATCTAAAATAAATCAATTAATTCAGTAGGTATATAAAATCGAAAATAAAATATTTACTGTATGAACCAAAACATGATGGACCAGATGATTCAAGTAAAAGTAACTTGAATTCGTAAAGTAGGTATACAAAATGCCGTTCCTGGATTTTTTCGAGTTCGTAACTTTAAAGGTCAATGTTGGTCCAATCCGACACTGCTGTGCGCCACCAGTCTGTACACAAGCCTCAATATGCCGTTTTATTGCTCTATATCGTGAAGTAATTATCATTACTCTGGTTATTGTTTGGCATCCTAGGCGAATTGTACATCTCAGCTTAGACTATCCAAGTTAGCTCTATATACAGTGTGATTCAAAATTGAGTGCAAAGATTTTAAGGGCGTATGTACCAGCCAAAAATAAGAATTTTTTTGTCCTAACTTGCTTAGTTTTCTAGATACAGGGTATCAAAGTTTTAAAAAAAAATCGATTTTTTTATCAATTACTCAAAAACCTTTCAGTCGATTTAAATAAAATTTAATAGGCTTATTTGTCGCCATAAGGGCCTTCCTTTGGTGAGTATAAAATAAATTTATTAAATTCAGTGGCGTCTCAGGGGGCTGCCTACTTGATACTTATAGGTAAAATTATGGTACAGCACTGCTTTTTTGACAATTAAATTTTTTTTTAGATTAACCGCTCAATAACATAATTTTCTTGCCTCTTGAGCTTTACTCGTATCTAGCTTTGTTTCCAGTGACGTTTTTAAAAAACTTTGACACCCTGTATCTAGAAAACGAAGCAAGTTAGGACATACGATTATATGAAAAAAAATTCTTATTTTTGACTGGTTTATACCCCCTAAAAGTTATTTGCACTCAATTTTGAATCACCCTGTATACAGAAATCAAGCGGCGAAATGTAGTGGCTCAACATTATATTAGTTTATGATGATCTTATGAAGGGTAATAAGTAACTGTATTGGGTAAAAACATGGTAAAAGTCAAAAGGCTTTTAACTGCCACATACCCAACCCCAACAGTCCAGGAGGGCTCCCTCCAGCGTTCATAGATGGATACACTGCTTGCTACATACTCAACGAGTAGACATGTACTATGCGGTCAGTCTCATATTGCTGGTATTCGACTATTTAATATTTATTGTAATTATAATTATTAATTAATTATAATATTTTATGACCCAAAAATATACCGACCAATTAGTCTGACATCGTTTTCCACGAAGACATTGGAAAGACTATGCGAAAGGTACACAAGGAATGCGGTGATTACAACAACACTACTACATCCAAACCAACATGCATACACCCCAGGCAGATCTACTGATTCAGCCCTTCATCTAGTTGCTGGCCGGATAGAAAGATCCCTGGACAATAAGGAGTCCGCCTTGGGTGTTTTCATAGACATAGAAGGTGCTTTTGATAAAACCACCTTCCCAAAGATAATACACTCACTAACCAACAGGAATGTTCCACAAATGGTTAGTCGGTGGATACATAACATGCTCTCAAAGCGAGCAGTAAACATAAGTGTAGAAGATGTTAATATAAGAGGCTTGGTTGCGAGGGGGGTGCTATCACCTCTACTGTGGAATATGCTCCTCGACACCCTCATCAGCCGCCTCAATAATGACAGTCACTACACAATCGCATATGCAGTTGACCTGGTCATTCTGCAAACAGGGAATTTTGAGAACATACTCTGCGAAAGAATGCAAGTAGCTCTAAAAACTATAGAACAGTGGTGCAAGGACCATTCACTGTCTATCAATCCTAAGAAGACAGAAATGGTCCTTTTCACAAGGAAAGGATGAAAATGGAATTAAAACCTCCAGAACTCCTAAACACAAAACTAAACTTTGCGACAGAAGTGAAGTACCTAGGTCTCACCTTTGACAGCAAGTTAACATGGAACTCGCATTTAGAAAACAGAGTTAAAAGAGCATACATTGCTTATGAACAATGCCGCCGTACTGTGGGACGCACCTGGGGTTTCTCCCTTAGAGTCGTCGCATGGACTTACACGGCTATCATAAGACCTATGCTAACATACGGTGCAGTTGTTTGGGTACCGAACACCCAAAAATTAACAGCTATCCGTAAACTAGAACAAATTCGACATAACAGGAGCCATAAAAACAACACCGACTAGAGCGATGGAAGTCAATCTTAGTCTCACTCCCCTTGATATTTACTTACATTAAGGAGGTTGCTCTGAGGACAATGACACGCCTCCGCACGGTCGGAATAGAACCTGATGTAGGATCTGGTGAGGCGAGACGTCACTTTTGGCAGGAGGCGCTTGATACGCTCCCACTGCTTTAAGCGAACATGGACTCCATCTCACCGAGATATATCTTCCATAAGCCATATAAAGTTATACTAGAACAAATAGAAGAGCCAGAAGTGGCAGGTACGATTCATATCTACACCGACGGTTCTAAAACAAAACAAGGCTCAGGATGCGAAATATACTCCAGATTCTTAAACCTAAACATAAAATGGGCTGTGAGCAATAGTGCCAGTGTAGTTCAAACAGAGCTAACGGGGATTCTCTTAGCAGCAAAAGAAATAACCAGAAATAATATCACTGGAAGGAACATGCTCATCTATACAGATAGCAGACAAGCACTACTCACCCTGAACAGACCACGAATTTATTCAGGGTTAGTACTAGAATGTCATGAAGCTTCGGCCGAAGTATCCATCAACAATGTGGTCACCTTAAGATGGATCAAAGGTTACGCCACATCGAAAGGTAACCGTCTTGCCGATTCACTAGCCAAGAAAGCAGCCAACCAAATACTTTTTTGGACCTGGCTCTTCTATTGGCCTGACAAAATCGGTAAAAGATGGGATGAAACAAGAAACTGCAGAGTTGCCACGGAGCTCTTAAGTTATCCTGACAACACTGCAGCAAACAAATACTTGACTATGACTAGACAGAATCTGCGTCTGGTCACAGGCATTCTGACTGGTCATTGCCAAGTACGGAAGCACCTCCATATCATAGGGCTGTCAGAATCCGCACTCTGCAGAGGGTGCGAACAAGAAGATGAGACCATCGAGCATATCTTTTACGATTGCCCGACGTTCTCATTTATTAGAAGATTTGTGTTCGGCGAGTATTGGCTAACACCAGCCGATATAAGAGAAGCACCTCTTGGCGACGTTGTCAACTACATTAAATCTGTAGGTTGGCTGACGAGCTAGGAGGTGCCTATCATCTTAGGAGGATGCACAATGGGTCTAATGAGGCCTAAGTGCCGTGGGGGTAACCCACCCTCCACACGTTACAGATACAGAGAGAATATTTTATGAATGTCTATAATATTCTATATTGGAATGCCTTCTGTTTTAGTATATAATTTATGGTTCAAATGGTACTACTGGTCAAAGAGGCACTATAGAATGGCCTTTATTCAGCAGTCAATATTAATATGGCAAAAGGCATGCAATTTTCCGTTAACTTCCCATCAATTGCCAATAGGTATATTTATTTCTAGTCATTAAAGGGAAAATGGAGGCCTATTAACTGGATTTGATGGCTGACTTTGGCCTGACTGTCGGAGGGTAATAGTTATTGGGTCTTTTAATCCCTTACACAAAATGTTTGTTGGGTCTCTTTAGATTCAGTGTTAGAAAAAGAATAACAATGTATTTCCAGAACAACTCTTTGATGAGTTTTGAGACAGATAGGATTTAAAATAAAAAGAAAGACATTAAATAGGAAGGCTGCTGTCACAAAAGAATACAATTTTTAAGAAAGCATGCCCACTTTAAACAAGATACTCTTCATTTGTATATTTGCTAAAGGTGAAACAAAAAGAATTTGGCAGGACAAAGAGTATAAATAAAATCCATAAAATTCACCGATCGAGAAGGAAAGAGACATATTATCGGGGATGCTGGTGGAAATGTAGAAAACTTGGTTTTGTCAATCAGATAAAAACATAGTTTATTGAATCTACTTATCTGTTTAATGGATGAAAGTTTTTTTTTTTATTAAATAAAATATGTTTTTAAATATACCGTAAATGGGTTGCCTAAGAAAATACGGCCACGGCCACTTTTTACTTGGATTTCTGTGTACAGATAAAGAAAGTATAGGAATCATGATAGAAGTTGCTTGTGATGTCATTCTCTATTATTTTGTTCCTGTACATGATTTCCCTAAAATGGACCTAATTCGAGATATTTGAGGAAAAGTGCAAATTTCGAATTTTGAAGATAACTCAAAAACGGATGAAGAGAAAAACACCAATTTTAAACTTATGCTTTAATCCATCCTGCGGTGAGCTAATTAAAGTTTGGGCATATTCAAAGCATCCGGGGAATATTTGACAGGGTGTCGTTTTTTTTTTACTTTAATAAAATAAATAGTCTGGACCGTATTTTCTTAGGCAACCCATTTGCGATATATTTATAAACATATTTTATTTAATAAAAAGAAACTTTCATCCATTAAACAAATGGGTGAAGGTCGACCTTACTTCGGATCTTAGAGCATTAGGGCCATATTCACTTCAATTTATTTAATAGTTTTTTGTATTGGGAGATATGATTGTGCACTTTATTGCCCAAAACTTTATTAGGTACTCAAAATTCTACATTTCCGTAGGAAGATAGGATTTAAAGAGTCGTTATATGGCCAAAGAGACTATTTCTCTTGCTGTTTTACCGACCGAAGAGGGCACAATATATCTTTTAAGTCGCAGTGCATTAACGCCCTTTACATAACAGAATAAAACATAACATTCTTCTAAAAATTGTCAAATATATAAAAATGCAGCTTAACTTAAATTTTACCTACCTATGTGAATAGTAAAATCCAACTTCTTCAGTTAAGATATGGATCGCTAATTCAAATAACACCCAGTGGAAAGTCGGCAATTCTCGAAGTGGTGGATAACCCCTCCATGTCATCGCCCAGTACATTATAATCGATAATGGGATACCCACTACGAATTGGTTAAATAAGACGCAGTATATTACCTAAAAAAATAATGCATCTTGTAGTAGGCGATATAAACAAAATGCTTTTTATTAAAATGTCAAATGCAAATCCAGTTTTTGATAAAAGCCTAAAGTGGCGTTTTCTACACCCACATGGATATTAGCTTATCTACGCAAATACTACAAAACGAAAAAGTATGCTGTTGCGTTCAACTGGACGAATATATTTTATATCCGTTCTAGGTAGTGAGGACACTGCAAAAAAATTAAATCCACCAATAACAGTTCATATTTTGGTCACCTGATTACTAATAGTTTTAAATAATTAAATAAGTGACAATTCCGTCAAACTAATTGTCAGTAGGTATATTTTTAGTAATTGAGATTAAATATACATGTTAGCAGGTAAACAAATTTTCGTGTGACTACTCATTGTAATATAATGAATAGAACAGCGGCAGGCAAAAGCGGGGGGTGTGGGAAACATTTGCGGTAGCAAAGTACCGCCGTCACCTCCCCAGGCAGAACGAGGTGAGTCGCATTGAGTGTAGAGGTTTTAGTTTTTCTATGGTGTAGAGTGTGTGGTCAACTGTGGCTGTAGGCGGTTGATTCTCACGCATTGTGTTCTATCGATAAAATCATTTGGTAACTAAATAATTATTTGACTTGATAATTAATAATTATTAATGATCAGAAGTAGGATTCACTCAATAAAAGTACCACGGAAGTACCTGGGGGTTGACTATTCCTGTGAGTATTTCTAAGATTATTAATTCGATAAATTTATCAGTTGATTGATTGTTTGAAATTGTTATTGGCGATATTGATGGTATTCATTTGAAACAGCGTTATCCTGTAGGGGCAAATAATTGTATGTAGCCGATAGAAATGGTATTTTCGTGTTTAAAAAAAAAAAAAATGCCACTATGGAGCTTATTGTTTTAAAAAGAAACTTACTAACCATATATCTCTCGAATAAATTATATTATTTATTGATTTTGATAGTTTTTTTTGGAATAAATTTATAATTCAACTAGCTGATCTGATAGATACCGAAGAGAAATGTAGAATGGCAAAAACATCCAATTGTAATTTAGAGCACTAATAACGTTAAAAGGTGCACGCAACATAACTTTCAAAAATAGTAAAATACCATTTAGAATTGAATGCAGTGGTATAGGTTCCAAAATTTGTTTTTATGATGTGGATAATTTAGCAGTGATCTACTACGTTATTTTTGACAGATAGTGTGTAAACTATGTTAATTAATTTTAAATGAAATAAATCGGATTTTAATATAGAATCAATTTTAATCGGTGTTAAGAATAATAATAATAATAATAATACATAAAATGAAACGTATTGAATGTATGTCTATGTAAGAATGCTGTGCTCCTGTGCTTATCACCAAAATTCTTATGCGTCCCAGTTCGACGTATCGTTCGACGAAATATGAGTAGCACTCGTGAGTCATGACAGGGTGGTCCTAGTCTAGCAATAAGCGAAACATACGAGTGGTTACAAGTGTCTTTATTTGTAGCCTTTTAATTTTGGTATAAATTCGATGAAAAAAAAAAGTTTGCTTCATTAAAAGGGATTTATATTGTCTCTATTAATGACCGCTGAGAGAAGCTTAGAAAAACAAAACGCAGAGAAACTTAAACATTTATTGTTAAATTTGTTTAAGTTTATAAATAATTATTCAACAATACATACCATTTAGTTAAAAATAAAGCTATCTAGTGACCAAGTGATTAAATTATAGCAGGGGCGCTGCTGGGAAAATTTGTGAGGATGGACGAGCGCTCTTTCCAAATTACGATTAACTGTTAATTCTTCCATTCGTAAAGTTACGTACAGGTCAGGTTAATGTTGTTTTATGTTACCAGAAAGTCAAGTACAGGTCAGGTTAATCCCCGAGGAGTACCTCTGAACTTAACGATGTATTCATGTCACCAGAAAGTCAAGTACAGGTCAGATTAATTCCTGAGGAAAACCTCTGAACTTCTTTATTGTTTTTATTTCGTAACAAAGTTAAATAAGTTAATTTCAGGTCAATTTAATATCTGAGGAGTACCTCTGAACTTCCATTTAAAGCTTTTGCTTTTGTGAGTAAAAAAAAATTAAGTGGAGGTCAGTTAAATATTTGAGGAGGAGCACCTCTGAACTTTAATTTATAGTTTTTTTTTGTGATTAAAGAAATTAAGTATAGCTCAGCCAAATATCTGAGGAGTACCTCTGAACTTATTGCTTTTATTTTGTCTGCTTAGCACACATTTAGTGAAATCTTTTGAGATATTAAATATAGTGTAATTGTTAGCATCGTGCAAGCTTTATGTTTTATTAATGTGGTCTGATAAATGGTATGAGGAATCCGAGGATTCACAATCACAGAAAAAATCGGTAAATTGTACTGTCCTGGATGGGCGGTGTTAGCAAGTAATTCTTTTGTTTTTGGTTTTTCCTTTGTTTTGTTGCCTAAATGATATATTAACTGCCCGAGACCTAGATGACTTGCTTTTTAACCACGCGATGGCAGGTGGTAAGCATTTCGTGACTAGTAGAGTGAAAAATGCTGGACGGATATTGTTGAAATCCGAGGAGTATAGTTTTTATTTTGAAATTATTTTAAACAATAATTGAAAAATGTCGGACAGATATTGTTGATATCCAAAGAGGAGATTGTGTTTTAAATTATTTTAAAATCTTGAATAAAGTGTTATAAATTATAAGACATGGGGTGTTGTGTAACTTATTTAAAAATGTAAGGTTTTGCCTCGTCTTAGAATGTGACGAGAGGATGAACAGGAAACTTTTTCGAAATAATTGGCGTGGAAATAATTTGGCGGCTAATTTTTTTGTTTAATATCTTTATAAATTAAAATAATACAAATTAATAACCAGTCGATACATAAAAAAAGAGAATATTTCGAGAGCGAAATATAGATCAGTATGGCCGTGTTAGCAGGTAAACAAATTTTTGTGTGATTACTCATTGTAATATAATGAATAGAACAGCGGCAGTCAAGAGCGGGGGGGTGCGGGGAAACGTTTGCCGTAGCAAAGTACCGCCAACACCTCCCCAGGCAGAACGAGGTGAGTTGCCTTGAGTGTCGAGTGTGTGTTCAGCTGTGGCTGTAAGCGGTTGATTCTCACGCATTGTTTTCTATCAATAAAATCATTTGGTAACTAAATAATTATTTGACTTGATAATTAATAAAATCTAAGATACATTAAAATGAGTTATTCTTATGTAGAATAGATAAATAATAGCTTTTGTATTTTTATTTCGTCTATAATTATAAATGATTCGTTAATTTTAATAAAACTATATAAAGTCAATTTAATTACGATAATTAAAGCAAAAATATTAAGCGCCTCGAAGGTTAGGGCAATTGAAACTATCAAATATACAACATGTAAAACTATTATTGCGTATCGTGTATAATGCATTGCCTACCTTCTCCTAATATTCACAATCTATAGTGAGTATTGTTGGTATTGTTTATAAATAGAGCGACAAAGCTATCCCTTAATGTCAGTTCGCGGAAAATGTCAGTTCGGCGAAATGTAAAGCTTACTTTGGATAGTCATCGTAGAAAAAAATATTTATTTACAACCATATATGTAATGTTGCCATTACTAACGTCATTGAAGGTTGGGAAGTGTCACATTACACACCTCTACTTCCCGCCCTCATTTCATCTATTCTAGATGAATATTTTTTATATTTAAAAAAAAATAACACAGTGTTTGACAAATTTTATAATACCTATTTAATGGCAAACAATAAAAAACAACAATGATCTAAAATATAACAAACTACTTATTGATATTTATTATTCGGGAATTTAATATCCGGCTTTATCTGACATTTATTTATATTGGTGACAGTTGTTTACCCCGTAATCACAGTAACAATATATTTACCTACTTGATTATTCTGCGAAAAAGGCACGCTTGGTAATTTGTCGTTAAATGTAATATTTTTGGTATGTTCAGAACAAAACAGAGATTTATTAACTTTGATCCAAATATGATGGTTGTAAATAAAATAGTACACAAACCTCGGTAGGAAGTTTTATTCCTGTCTCGAGATCATAGCTAACCTCGACGCTTCGCGTTTCGGTGATCTAACTAATCTCACGACAGGAATGAAACTCTTCCCACCTCGGTGTGTAATATACTATTAAATAATAAAAAAATTGTACTTACATGTAATAATTTTCTATTATCAACTGGTTCGTTGGTACCAGGTTGAATTTTGTATTTTCTTATCACAGAAGGCATATTTGTCATATCCATAAATATATAAATTCCTCCAAATAGCCAATATACCGCGAAAGTGATGGCCATAGAACAGTACACCCAAAGAGTGAACGGGTCTTCGCCGACGATATCCAAAAATTTATCCCATTGCGCCTGCCAGAAATCTCCAGATGCACCCCAGAATCTCTGACAATGCCTAAAAAGTACAAAATTAAAAAATACATGTGACATTTAATACAAAGTATTTAAACATTTTTTGTTGAAATCATTTTGTTTATTTGCGTATAAAATAATAATTATATGTATATGGGTACAATGCTATATTATTATATACTATGCTATATTATGCACAATAATTGATGATTATAATCTTAGTTTAATAAACAAAGTCGAAAGGTTCAAACTAAATATAGGTAATGAACGTAATTCAAATAACATGTGAGCAAAATAATGTATGTAGAGTTGGTAATGATAGATAAAGAAGAGACATGGAAAGCTGTAGAAGTACAACAGGTCCTAGAAGTCGCGGTGTTCTGGTCTAACTACATCTAATTCTAACCCCACCTGCTGAAGACCAACCCGTACTGATGAAGACTATCAGTCAGAAACACCTAGTTGCAGTATGCCTTACGGATTTTTTTTGTGGAATGTGCCCAATATCCAATATCTGAACTTTTAAACAGAGTCGCTAACATCTTTGTTCATGGAAACAAGTTCTGTTCTGGGAGCAGTAAGGATGAATTCCATTTGTAAAAATATAACTAAGATAGCCTAAGATGCAAATGGCCTAACTCCTAAAATATAAATTTTTCAGGAAAGGAAAAAATCTTTCTGACCTAACCTTAATGTAAAGTGGTTATACAAAATGAATTATGTAATTTTTGGTGCGAATATTTAAAATAAGCATGGTATGCGAAAACATACAGGGTGTATCAACGATGCGTGGGTGAACGATAGCTGCTTCCCTATATGAGATAGGAAAAAATGCTTCAAATAAAATTTGTAAAGGGCATTGAAAGCTACGTTCCAAAAATAACTACCAATATACAGGGTGTCCGATAAATGTATGAGTTATCGAAGTAATGTTTTTTTAAAGGAAACACCCTATATATTTTTACTCGATTAAATTTCTTTGGAAGAGTGTTTCTCGAAAATATAGGGTTGTATGGGTTTATACTGGGTGGTTAGGAATTTATGGTGGGATTTAGGTAACAAAATGGGTTTATTCAACATCAAATATCTCTAAATCAATAATTTGGAATAAATTTTTTTTTCTGCCGAATATTCTCGAAAATAGTGTATTTTCATTTCCTATTCATAATTTTACCGAATGGCGCTTTTCCCATACAGGGGCAACCAAAACTCGGGACCACTTTTTTCTCAGTTTTTTCAAATGGAACACCCTGTAAATGAGGCCATACCAGGATAGCCCATACCATGAGCTTTCAGAAAATGTATGGTTTGCCTACTTGATTTTTATCGGAAATGTATCTAATTCTAAAGGAAAGTATAAAAAAGTTATAAAAGCAATAACTATTTATTTATTGTAAACCAACAATTATTTAAAAAAGCGTATATTCACAGCAAATGTTTAAACAATCTCACATTTTAAGCTATGCCCGAATTAATCATATCTACAATTGCTCCTCGAACTTTCATTAAAGTTGATCTTGTAATACAGCGAAAAATCAAATCACCCTTGAAACATTTGAACGTTATAGGAATTTGACATTTAATTATCGAGGAGGAGAATAATTTATAGTTGAAATTTAATAATTTTTCGCTTCAAAATGAAATTATCCACCGAAGAAATGATAAATATGATCTACATTTTGGGTGAGTGTGATAGAAATTGTTTATTAGCCAGTAGAATGTATGCAGTTCGATACCCTGATTCAAGGTCTATACGACCAGAGACTTTTCGGAGGGTTAAAGAAAGATTTGACGAAACAGGCAGTGTCAAGCACGAGAAAAGGCAAGTAGTAAACAAAATTGCAACAAATGAAGAAAATGAATTAGCGGTGATCCTTTCAACAGTAGAGAATCCTCATGTTAGTACGAGGGAAATTGCAAGAGAGCTGGATATAAGTCACACTTCCGTGAACAGAATATTGATAAAAAATAAACTTCATCCATACCGAATTGAATTACATCAAGAACTTTATGAAAGGGATTATGACACCAGAGTTCGCTATTGCGAAAATATATTGAATTTCATTCGCGAGGATCCAAATTTTCTAAAATACATTTTGTTTAGTGACGAGTCAACATTTAAAAGTAATGGAATAGTAAATAGACACAATTGCCACTACTACTCAACAGAGAATCCACATTGGGTCAGAGAAATTGATTACCAAAATAGATGGTCGATAAATGTTTGGGGGGGCATAATTGGGGATCAGGTCATAGGACCACATTTCTTTGATGGTCCACTGAATGGGGAAATTTACAGAGATTTTCTCCGAGATCATTTACCAATTTTGTTGGAGGATGTACCTATTGACACCAGACTCAGGTTATATTACCAACATGATGGCGCGCCTCCCCACAATCAAAATCAGGTAAGATGGTTTTTGAACAGATAACGCAGTAATAAATGGATAGGAAGTGGCCAGCAAGGTCTCCAGACCTCACGCCTCTAGATTTCTACCTCGGGGGATATGTTAAAGGAAAGGTCTACCGCGAAAAACCAACGACACCAGAAGACATGAAGAATAGAATTAGAGAAGTTTTTCACTCTATTACAAAATCAACTTTAATTGAAGTTAGAAGAGCAAATGTAGATAGACTTAATTTGTGCATAGCTCAAAATGGGAGATTATTCGAACATTTGATGTGAATTTATGCTTTTTCGAATGAAATAAATATTTTTCTAAAAGTAAAAAACAACACCCTATAAAGTATCCTCCTGGTGCTTCGACTATGCCCCACGAGAATATTCAATTAAGTCATTGTTCTATTCATAGACAAGCACTGACATGTAAGAGTATTCCTGTAGAGTATTCCATGCGATTTTTGAGGACTTTGGAAGTCTTTACGTTTCTTTACTACTTCATAAAGAAATTAAATGAAATGTTCTGAGTTTCTTGATTAACCAGAAACCATTGAGTTATTGAAGTCAGTTAAATCAGATTTTAAATACAAGAGGAATTAGGAATGCTAAATTTTTGAGAGACTTATTTACTGTTGATGACTGAAAATGTGTTACATTTGTTGCGTTTTTTTAATTTAGTTTGGTTATAGGAAGAGTTTGAAGTTGATGTTAATATTAATTATTGATATGTTATAAATACACCATTGGTTGTTTTTCTTCCATAATAATGTTAGTATTTTTTGTTATTTGAAATCTCGTTTTTTCTTGGACATCCTCCCGGAAATATTGAAGAAATCCTGAAATTTGAGATATACGAGTAGTTTCCCGAAAAATTATAATTATAATTTGGCAATCCTAAGCAAACACAAAACTTGTCCCAATCAAATCAGAACACATCCCATGGAAATGTATCAGACGTATGAAAAACTCTCGCACTTTTAATACTGTGACCTATACAATCGAGTATAACTTCCAAATGTATTATATCTAAATATAGTATTCTAAAGTAAACCGAGTTTCATTATTCAATCGACCTATTGTTAAATAGTTCATTTATATAACAATAAACGCATCTGTAGTAGAAGCAAAATACGTTAGCAAAAGCGTCAATAAATATAAAAAAATGTCTTTATCTTATCTAGAGGTTAATAGATATATCTGGTTAGCGATTCCAACAAATATTGAAGCAGTGAGGAAAGGGTACGGGCAAAAAATATTAGAAGATGGTGTCTGTCTAAAGAAGCACGGAGAGTAAATAGGGTTAGATGGATGGGACAAATTTAGAGAAGAGGAGACCGAAATACCACTAGAAATGTGATTGAGACAGGCAAAGGAACAAGTGATCTTGCTTGAAATTGCGCTAAAGAGAAGAACAGGGCAAAAAAGAGAGAAAAATATATTTGACCGACCGCTTCAATGGAAAATTGAAAAAAAAAAACGAGATGACAATCATGATTTTCAGAAAATTTAATTTAACAGTGACAGAAGTTGGAAAGGCTGTTGGTAGGTAGTATAGGTGGTAAACGTCAAACTTCGTTGGAAGATTTCGAAAATTATGCGGTGATGTTTATTCGCCAGTGTCGTAGCGTAGATCACGTAGAAAAAAATACTTAGTACCGAACATTTTAAATTATTACCGGCGCAATCAGACAACCGTAATTATTTATGAGCTAGAAATACTTATTTAAACAAGTAATAATACCTCCAATCATAATGCTACAAAATTTCAACAGCTATTCAGAATTTATTAAACTATTTAAGCGAAATTTGTTATTAGCCTCTATGAAATAATTTTCTGCTCCAATGTTTCTCGTTCACTTCGGTTAGCTCCGCGCTAAAACTGTCAAATCCTGTGTATGAAGTGGGAGAACTGCGAAAAGCCTTTTCAACTTCTGTCCCTGCTTTACTTCTTTAAATTTATTATTAGATCAGTAAATGTGATGGTCATTTTAAGTCGCAAACGAAAACTAATAATGGGATTGAAAAAATTGACAGATTCATTTCAGAACATACATACGAGCTACGAGGTATGCAGTAAAATAAAGTTCCAAGACCCAAAGACCTATTTGTCATTTAAAGTGAAAGAACCAGAATGGAGGAAGATTTATCTGTAGCTTATATTAGTTTCGTAGTTTTTTACCTATTATTTTAATGATTATTGTTATTCGTTAAAGATAAAAGTGGCGGTGGTAGTCATCACTATTAGTCTAAGAGAGCCGCAGAGGTTTTAAACTTAATTCTTGCAGATTACATTTCCTAATGGTCTTGCCTACCACTTCACAAAATTCCAGCCGTAGAAGGTACGATCGTACCACCTTGCGACCCTAGCTCTCAGTCTATATATTTTAAGAGGCGACAATAAAACATACTGGGTGGGTCACTTTAACGTCTCGGTCTGTAGAGCCAAAACCATTTGATTTTTTTAAAGTCTGTTTTCACAGCGAGATGTGTACCAGAAAAGGCAACAATTTAAAAATAATTTTAATTTGGTCCAAAAAAGTAATATATATCAAAGTTAGTTTTTTTAATGGGACACCTTGTATTTTATTCTTTATTTAAATTTCTCTTGCTTTTGCCATTATAATAATATCAAATAGTATGAG